AATACAAAAATTGAATTATAACAATTAAGAATATATATACACATTAATTAAATTTTAGTTTTTTGTAAGTCATACTGCAAGTGTTCAGAATAAGTCTGAAATAATAATTACAAGTATTTTTTATCAATCGTTATTTTACATAATTAACAAAGCCTTTATTTTTAGAATTTAAATATTACACGGTCTACACGTACTTGCTTATTATTATTGTTAAATTATATTCAATATTACTGTCATCGACATTAAAATCTCGTTCTAATAGTGGTTTAATAGTGATGGTAGTTAACTATTTTTAGTTAAAAATTAGATTTTCTTGGAAAAAGACACAACGCTGATAATGACGATTAACAAAATAATAATTTTGATATTTCTGACTTCATTCAACGAGATGTGAATCAAGCAACTCACAGACACTAGGTAAAATTATATTATTATCGTTAACTTTATGATCAATAATAATTTGAACTTGTTTATAACCTCGCCTTTATATTTAAATAAAATAACTTAAAAAAATGACAGGGCACACTCAAATGTAAAACTCTTGGTTCACCTATGTGCAAAGACAATACTTATAACCAGGGTTAGGATTTAATAGCACCGAAAATACTAAAATATCCGCTATAATATGACAAAAAAAAAAAAAAAAATGTAAGTCAAAATTTTATTAAATCCATTATATTATTTTATGAAGTAATACATTAATAAAAAAACTAAAATTACCATCTTCTGTTAACAATTTCAAAAAACTTATATGTACGTCTTGTTTTGTGTACCTAACCTGTTTTGAATCATCATCGTTTGTGTGTAATTGTTTCTTCGTTTATAAGTGTTGAGTAACGTTAAACTTTTTGTCACTATTAACTTTACATTCACACAATTTGCAAAATAGAATACTTGCGTCAATTGTAAAAACATCTTCGCCACCAAACTCAGACACAAAATATCTAAGTCTCGAATAGTTCGATGTTTTAACTTTTGGCATTTTACGTGAAATATCGAAACAGAAAAACGAATAATACACAATCGAATAATAAACGAATATGAAACGAAATCAAACAATACGGAGAACTGACATAGAAAGCATGACATACGTATGGTAGACGACAATATATTGTAGAACAATAATAAAATAAAAATAAATAAAACAGACAAGAGGAAATAAATGTATAAATATATTTGATATCGCCAGGCTACTTAAAACTAGATTCTAGTAACATGTTAAATAGTAAATACCATATTATTTATCAATTATCAATATGAAAAGAAAATGTGGGAATTTTTGGATTCACATAAATGAATGCTATTTTTCATTCAATATAAACGAGATTTATGAAAAATACAAAAGCATGTATATTAGCACAAAATATCACTAAAACTTCAAAAATAGCACTCTGCTATCTTTATCTATATCCTATAATAAATAGCAAATGCTATAAAATCCGAATCCCTGCTTATAATTTATAAGTTAAATAGTAAGATAGCATCACTAGTTTTATTCGAAGATCACATGTACGTATGAATCGATATAATGAATGAGTAACTAAGATAAAGCTCAATTTGATTAGAGAAACGAAATTGTGGACAAAGGAAGTAACACTCAAAAAAATGTTCAAAACATTTGATACTTACAATCCAAGTAATGAAAATAATTAAAGGCAGTGGCATAACAAAAAAATGTTGCCCCCCCCCCCCCGCAAAAATAAAAAATGGGCCCCTAAATATTGTTTAGTTTGGTATATTAGTTTAAAAACATTAATCTGATTTAGGTAAATCACTTATTATAATTACAATTTTGTTATGATATGATAAAAAATAACAATATTTATTTAATAGTACCATTGTTTATATATACTATTATAGATTGCTCACTGGCCAGTTTTCGATGGTATAAAAAAAATAATTCTGACAGAGGGTAATTCAAAATTAATAATAATAAAATCTTATTTAATTTTAGACGTTGTGTCATATGGATGGTAGACAGGTGTGTATCGATCAGTATATTATGCGAGCACTGTGCACGAAAAATGATCATATTTTGTTTAATTCGTTTAAATTATTTTATTCAGTGGTTTAACATGGAAGTTCGAGTATAGAAGAATATACTAGACAGAAAAATTTACATTATATTTTTTATTTTGAAAAAATTATTTATTATAATATAATTTTGAATCTCATAAGGACATTTTAGTGTCCTTAAGATTCCCCAAGGCAGGTTAGTTACATAGAGTAATAAAACGCCTTATCATTAATATTCTTATTATTTATTCACATACTTCTATACTAGTATAGAAGTCTGTGTATTTATTGTAGGTATTTCCACATGATAAGATTATACGAACTATAGATTACCATGATTACCGTACAGTTACGTACATATTTAATAATAATAATAACAGATTATTATAAACATAGATTAACACTAATTTAATTTGAAAAAACAATTAGTCAATTATTTTTTCGCGGAAATTAAATTTATTTTAATCAATAGTCCCAAATTACCATGGGCCCCCCGCAACGTGGGGTCTGCGGGCCCCCAGTTACGCCACTGATTAAAGGTACAAAATTATTAGGAATCTAGAGCTTTGGGTTTCAAGAGAATTTTATAAAATATGAGACAGTTTTAACAACAATGGAGTTCCTCAAAATATTTAGTACTACAGAACCTTTAACTAAATATCTTAAGTATTTCCAGAGTAAAAATTGTGACATATTACAAGCATATTATGATTAAAAAATCTGAAATAGAATCACAGTAAGAATTTTCTGAAATTCAAGAAAAAATAAATACATTTATAAATTATTTAAACAATGAAATTTATAAAAACGATATCATTTTTGAAAGTGAATTTCCGAATATAAGTCTTCGAATCCTAAAAAATTATTTAATTATGAAGCAAACGGACTCTTTCAAACTAATTTCAGCGATTGATGAGTGTTGAATAAGGACATTTAAAACTATTATGGACGTATTAAATAATGAAATCAAAATTAGGTATGCAAATCATCTCAAGAAATTTGTGCAGATATTTCTTGTTTAAATTATTATCAAAAAACGTTGATAACATAAAAAATGAAGGTCTTCCAGAAAATGTATTGGAAAAAATTGGTGAAAAATTGAACTCTATAAAGCCTGATAAAACACATGCTTCACTTAAATAAAAGTTCATGGCTTCATAAACAAAATATAAGTTTGAATTGTCTAAATAAGAACGACAATATGAACGAATTCAATTTTGAAATACAAAAATGTCCACGAAACAAAAATTCTTCCAATGAGTGTTCAAATAGTATTCATTGCTATTATATTACATTGTTGAGCTATTATTTATTATGTCTAGCTTATTGTTTATTATTATTATCTTATAAGTACACATTCACTTTGCCTATATCATAAGTTTCGTGCGAACGATCGTTTTCCAAACTTAAATACATAAAAAACAGATTACATAGTACATTTACATTTTCACATTTGAAATGGTTTATGATTATAACCAAAAAAAAAATTTATAATATATGAACTCAAATACAACATAATTACTGATAATTTTGAGTCAAAAAATAAACTTTTCGAGACATTATAAATTACCAAAATCTCTTCATTTTATTATTACAGCTTTAATCTACATTATATACTATGTATAACTGATTATTTTTCATATTATTCATTAAAATTTTTATAAAATTTTATAAATTTTACTTGTCTACTTTTGTTTATCGATAAACAAATATTATGGATCCATAAATATAATGTGTAATTGTTCGAAAATTGGTTAGGTACTATTAGTTTGACAAGTACAATCAGTTATAATAAAAGTGAGTTTATCAGTTACCTTATATTTCATAAAATAATAGTATTCCTTATCTACTAATTTCTGGTATTCTGCGTGAATGTAACTATTGGTTTTATATTTGTCATTTGTATAAAAAATATTAGAGCCTTAGTTTAATTTTCATATTATATAATATTACATTTATTTGTTGTTCAGAAAAGAGGTGAGGGGGATGTGTTTGGTGATACTTTGTTTGATGTAGTGGTGGGCATATCCGGATTTCACGGATTATCCGGAATATCCGGATTATTCAACTCGATTTTGCTGTTCAATGACTCATTTTTATATACTTACATTTTAATTCTATAATATAATTTTCATTATAATAAAATAATTTATTTTACCATACATTAAAAATATTTGTAAGTCTGAAGTCACATAAAAAGCAAATCCATAAATCCGGATAATTCGGATAATTCGGGAAATCCGGATAAGAATTTGATTCAAATCCGGATTTGGATATCCGGATATTCAGATAATTCAGATATTCGGATTTCATGTCCATCCCTAGTTTGATGTGATATTGAATATTTAAATGTGCACTAGCTAGATTACATTTTTCCCGGGCCATTCAAAGCACGTCAATAGCACTTCTACATATATATCCGCCCCTGTTTCGACGGAAGAAAAATTGTTTGCCAGAAAATTTCGACAACAGATTAAATCACTTTGATTTCTTTTTTTATTACTAAATTAATTTTGCGCCATTTTTTACGTTTAGTTATTGTATACATCAAAATAAGAATCATATTATGATTTATCTTATGTATTTTTATTATATGCGTATATATAAGACCAGCTCATATGGAACTAATAATCTACCAGGGCCGGACTGGGCAGGTGGGATACCAGGAGTTTTCCGGTGGGTTAGTAAGTTCTAATACAAGTATTAAGTAATACTTATACTCTGTATAATTAATTGATTAAAATGAAATAAATTGGCGGAAATTTGGAGAGAAGTAGTGTAACGTCTTTGAAGTTGGTTTTCAGAATATCTTTGATTTGTCCGTTAAATTTTGTCATAGTGTTGATTAAACAAAACGACCAATCAGAATAGAGAGGGGGCCGTAATCGATTGCATTCACGGAATTATAATAGGAATCAGGATGTTCGTTTTACAATTTTACTTCCATCTAAAAATTAAATAAAAAATAGTTAAGTCATCATCTGTGTCCAGTAAAATATTAATTTTCATAATACACTTAAATTTTTACTATTAATTGTTCCTACTATTTATATTTATTGCGAATTTTTATCAGTCTTTGTGTTCGATTCTTTTGAACAAATTTTAGTAACGTTACCCGTTTTTACTTTTTTCTACGCCATAAATTTGTTTTTTTTTGTTTCATTACTTGTAATTTGTAAGTTCCAAATTTCATTATACGATGGCACAAAACGTTAATCCTAGACTCGAAAGTAGTTCGTCGGACTCTCCAAAACGGAGTAAAGATATGAACGATAGAATAGAATCAAATAAAGTTATTCAGAGGTACCTGCTTTTTTTTTTTTTTTATAAAAAAAAATAACTACGTTATAATTTTGTGTATATTTTATTTATTTGAATAATTTTTTTCTTTTTTTAGATTACAAAAAGAATTAATGAGCTTAATGGTATGTTTAAAATTTAAAATTGTTAATATATTTTATTTTATGTTAACGTATTAATATTTAGTGTTCTTTATATGTTAATATCAATTTACTTGTAGATGTGGTAATGTTAATCTATTCCATTAAATAATTAAAATTAAATATCTTATATACATTTACACTTATGTCATATATATATTAGTTATAAAATATAATAGGTAATAAAATTTAAATGTTGAATAAATCAAAACTTATCGTTTTTATAAAATTTTATAGTATTTTTAATTTAATTTTTTTGATATTTTATCATTTGTGGACATTTTGTTAAATTTTTAGAGCGGCTATAAATTTTAACAACATTTTCCATTTTGGTAAGCTATGTAACATTCCATGACTGCTTATGATAATGTTCTGGTTAATTTTATAAGATAGGTATGTCTTAAATTTATCTAATGCAGTTTTTCTATTGGTTAATTATTTTATTACAGAAAGTTTTGTGTTTCATTAGGTAATTTATCTTGGAATAAAGTTATTATTATTATTATTATTTCACTCTGGTATTAAATGCAGTATTTTTTGTATAATATTACTCTGTGTCAATTACTGATATTTATATGATTCAACTCAAAATCTGAGAGATCAGTCTGATTAATAATTAAATTCATTATTTTTAATTGCATATAATTTTGCATGAGGTTATAGATAACAAAATCTTTGGTTATTATGTACTTCAAAATATCAAATCTCAGCAATTTTTTCTATTAATTATGGAGTGTAGTTTCCATAATTTTATTTAAAAATACCTTATTACTGTTAGAATAATAAGTTAGCGATGGAAAATATGATTCAGTTTAATGAATCCATTCTCTTAATTTAGTTCAGTTTATTGAATTGATACAGTGATTCATTTTAAATCATTTAAATATAATTTTAATTAACTTAAAATGATTATTTTATTTGCTATAAATATATATATATATATACACAATGAAAAAAAAATAAAAATATTTTACTGATAAATAATACCTACAAATTTAGATTGTATATCAACTGTAAATCAGTTATCAAATTTTTTAACGACTAATTTTAAATTTATAAATGTTATAAACTTATAAATATAGGCTCTTGAACGTATTTGGTAGAGGCCCCTTAGGTATGTCCTAGTTATGGGGTGAGGAGAAGAGGAGCTATATCACAATTGTAAAAAAACTGAAATTTTTAAAAAAAAATTTAATATTTTTATTGAAAATCTGTTTTGACCATATGGATAATATTTATTTTGGATTCGATATAAATATTAATTTTACTATATATGTACACTAATTTAAAGGATTATAACTATTAATATAATAAAATTATATAAGAAAAATAAATGACTTATTTTAGTTAAATTTAACAGTCTTATAGAAATATATAGAAATACTGTAATCATTTGTAACTTGGAAATAATATAAACATAGATAATGTAATATAACAATTATAGGATTTTCACATAAACTAATAACATTGGTTACTGATAACTACAAACTATAGTAAAGTAAAATAGAATTGAATCTTTGAATTGTTAAATCTTATTTAGCTAACTGATTCATTCTTCAACACTGAATGAACTTAATTGTATTAAACGAAAATACATTTTTATAAATGTGTTTATACTTATATCATTTGATATTCTAGATGTCATGTGATGAATCAGTTTCAGCATTTCCTGAGGGAGACAATCTTTTTAAATGGGTTGCTACAATTATTGGACCTAGTGATACAGTGAGTATCTATTCATTTTTATTATTAAAAAATTAACCTATATTAAAAATATGTTAATAATGTTTTAGGTGTATGAAAACTTAAAATACAAATTGAGTATGGAATTTCCTCGTGGTTATCCATACAAACCACCTACTGTCATATTTATAACTCCTTGCTTTCATCCTAATGTTGATTTTGAGAGCGGTTCCATATGTTTAGATATTTTAAAAGAAAAATGGTCTGCCATGTATGATGTAAAAGCAATACTTATATCACTACAATCTCTTCTTGGAGGTAGGTTTTATGAACTATGTAAATATTATTAATATAGTTTTAGATGATATTGAGAGGTGTGTAAAAAAGAGATGTAAAATACCTAAAAGTACAGTTGCTTATTCAATCAAGTCACCAGTGGTTTTGTTTTCTTTATATATCAACTTATCTAAGAAATAAAATCACCATCAACGACTTTCTATTTCATAATTGAATTTTTTAAACGTGATTGTAAAAGTATACTTATAACTAAATAATTAATTAAACTCTTCTAATATTGGAAGGAATTTAAATAATACAAAATATATAAGTTGACAAGTTAGGAAAATAAAAAAAAATTATTCATTAAGTTGTAAAACTTTTTATTGTCATTTATTAATAATCTCTTATATACAAATATAATTATTAATAAATAATACACTTATATATAATTTTAAAGTAAATATTTAATAGTTACTTAAAAATATATTGTCTAAATATATATTTATTTTACAGAACCAAATAATGAAAGTCCTTTAAACGTTAAAGCAGCACAAATGTGGCCAAGACAAGAAGAATTTAAAGCAACATTATTAAGTACATACAAAGATTCTGAATCAAACTAATTTTTGAAAGTCTGTAGAATGTAATAATTTTAAAAACTAAATTGTTTTCCTTTCAATTTATTCATTTTTATTTTATTTTCTATTATGTACTTGTCTCTTAAAAATCATAACTGTAAACTATTTTAAACAGACGTTGGAAAAATGTTTATTTTCTGAATTGTATTACATGATTTATGTTCTCGTATTGATATTATACTTTAGTTTTACATACAAATATATTCAAAACTTTAATTTTTTTCTGTTCATTTTGAAAATGTTTGTAATCAATGCTACCTTCTTAAGTATGAATTGAGTATTATTGACATTATAAATGGAATATTTTATTTAACTATTTCAATAAATTCTATTATATAAAGTTGCTATTGATGTATGGAAAATATGTAATTTAACTATCAGTATCGTATGATATACTTATGATTTGTAAGCTATAAATTATATAAAACTGCTTATTTATTTATTACTTATTATCTATACAGGTTGTAACAAATGTTTCAAAACCAATAACTAATATATAGAATTAAACTTATTAATTTATTTGTGGGGGGGGGGATAAATATATTTAATGATGTGAGTATTTTATATTATCACTTTGTCATTTATGGTTGCTTTATAGTTATATACCTACATATAATTGCAAATAAAATGTCATGTAAAGGCGTCTGTACTGCGTTATTTTTAATTTTAATGTTGGTACACAACCTAATTTTATTAACAATTACTTTTCCAAGTATAAAATAATTTTTTTAACTTAAATTTTCTGTTATGTATTTATTGATTCTGTATTTAAATATTTTTCTCCTTTATGTTGGGTAATGTAGAATGATATTTGATTGTATAATACAAAAATGGTAATTAATAGCACAATTGTGTTTAATATTACCTATAAAAATAAATGTTGGAATGCAGTAATAAATTCTGCTATAATTAATAGGGAATATATGTTTGTAAATTGATTTTACCAAGTACTGTCTTGTATTAGTATTTTTTGGTTTATTTACTTAAAGATTAGTTTTACACAAATTAATGTGTTATACAATTTATACTTATTAATAAGTATATGCTGTTAAAAATAAAACAGTTTTTATGTTATCATTATAATTACATTTTATTGATTTATAATCAATAATACAACATAAATATCTTATTCCATATTTTTTATTATAAAATAGTTTTGATTTTGTTGTGTAATTTGTGACAACAAAATCGATCAAAAATCGCATGTTGTTTGTGTATATTAACTATAGTTAATTAGTATTTTACACTGAAAAAAAAATAAACCACTTATAAAAATAATATAACGAATTTACTTCAACTCATACTATGTATTTACACCATTTATTATATTAATTTTGTGTAGTTTTTAATTTTAAGTATTTAATATTATATTTATTCTAATTATTGGAGTCTGGATTTGTATGCATTTACATATTTAAAATGAGTTTGTGCATATTGACGGGAGTAAGAAATGTGGATCATTTGCTTAACAGAGAATAGGAAAAATGTAATTTTGCATATGGATACATATTTTAGGGATGGAGGCATATTTAAAGAATTTTGTATAGAAGTTCATTTAACCAATTATTTTATTTCTATATCATAGTGAAAACTAGATTATTATTTATTAATTAAACAAGGTGACAAAGCTTTTGCTATAAAAACTAAAATATCACAAAAATTAGAAAAAATCGGATTAATTATAACAGAAAACTTCACGATTTGCTTGTTCTGTGGATAATATGAAACACGCGCCACTGACATCAATATATGTGGAAAGATCTTTTAGTCTTTATTAACATATAACAAGTTACAGAATGACAAATATTACACTTGAACAAATGGAAAAATAAATTATTGTAAATTCTTTTTTATAAAAATCAAATATAAATTTGTATTTTAATTTTTTGATAAATTTAAAAATTTTTTATATTTTGTAAATATTTATCAAAGGAATTGTATAAAAGGATTCAATACATTCTTTTTTTTTATTATTATTTTTAAGTAAAGTATTTGTTTTATTTGTTGAATATATGTACACATATAGACTATTCATTAATCAATCTTATTTGTTGATACTTGTATTTGAAATATTAAGTTTATATAATAAAGTTGCATTAATATTAATGGGAGGAAAAATATATGTATAAATGAATTCATTTTGGATATCAGCATTTTTTTGCTTATTATTAAAGAAAATAAAAGTTTAATATACTTCATATTATGAAGTGCATATTTAAATATTTTTTTTAATTCATAATTGCATACTATTTTAAGCTTTTTATACAAATCTGGATCTTACTTATAATACATATTTAAATTTGTTCTCCTTCTTTTACTTTTACTTAAATTGTTCTATTCTTTGTTTTATTAATCATCATAATACCATTGTAACTATTGTGTTTTGATCTATATATATAAATATATATATAATAATTATATGAATTTCCTGGGTTCTACATGAGTTTTATAAGTAAGGCCCACTATTTAATGTACATATTTTTCAATAAATAATTCATATAATTAGTTACAGTAACATATTTAAAAAAAATTTCTAGAATAATATTTATTATAACAGACAGGCTTGAAGTTTTCACAATTCAAAAGCATCCCTTCATATTTTGAATGGTCAATTATTAAAGAAAAATAGTTTAAAATAATCCTATAGCTAGGAAACCAAATTTTTAATTGGAATAGTAATGACAAATTATCACTATTTAACGGGTCAGTGTAAAACTTGATGGACTGTAACCGGGATTTGGGCTGTAGGTTGAAGACCCCTAAACTATAATATTACAATAAAAATGTTATCTATTATAGTCATTATCATAAATAAATTATTAAAAATGTATTTTTTGGTCTATGTTTAAAATTACTTGATTTACATTTTAAATTTTATTCTTATAAACTAAAAATGATCAAAAAATATTGTATATTGACTGTTTTCAATTATTTTTTTTCTAGGTCAAAACTTCATGTTTTTTATTTTTAGTAATTGAAATCCAATTCTTACATGTAATACAAGAAGAGTAAAATCATCAGTTAAGACTATCTCAAAATTGATTAGTGTTTTATGGATTATCTTTTTGAAAAACTTTTTATATTGTTTTAAGGGTATAGTGATTATAAGTACAATGAGTAAATTACGCGATTTGAAATGGATTGGGAATACTTCTGTATTTTTTAAATGCAGTGTTATTATATGATAGTGACGTAATTTGAAAACATTGATGAATTGTAGTACCTATTAATATTAATCTAAATTTGTAAATATTAATTTTCATTACAAGTGTATTGATAAACAATAAATATTAATTTCTCTTACAATAGATACGGTATGACGTATGAACAGTGTATGACATTATCTAAAAAAAAATGTGAAGATTAATTAATTTTTTTATTACTTTTTTATCAGTTCAATTATTGTTCCATCATAATTGACATTAGTCAAATCATTTAAATTTTATCATGTTAAAACAATCAATTCCAGAAAAACATTTTTCCGTAAATAAACTGTAATAAAACATACTGGTGGGTTACTAATGTTTGCAATTGATAAGTCTTAATATCATCTAATCATTGGAACTCTAAGAAATATTGTATTATATTATATTATAACCGATGACGTAAAAATTTGAAATACTTTTAAAAACGGCTTTTTTCTTGGATTTGAATAAAGCATTACGTCCAAGGACGTTACACAGCATTGATCTCATATGAAGTCCTTGGATTTGAGTAATGATTTTCACAGATGATACCGAAAATTTACACTGGCGGATCCGACGCAGATTAAGTGGGGACCGCTATAATACACTTAGGCCACGCTTAATCGAACCACTCGCGCTGTATGTGATATTACGACGGTCTCTTACTGTAACTGATGCTGAAGATGCAACATGTGCTTTCCGGCTATTTTACCAAAGCAATTAAGATATAGTTAATTATAAGAACTTATTACGTTTTCTCTGAAGTGAGTTGTGATTTCGTATTTTTTCTCTCACATATCATATGCGTATTCCATTCTTGTTTAAATTTATTGTTATACACTATTGCTAGTAGCTACTTATTTTAATAATTTCTTTAATGTTGTGCTCTTAAATCATAATTTTTTTTTAACTCTACTTTTAGACTCGACCCACGTTGCTATTATATATTTTGTTGAAATATGGAGCACAACAAATCTGCACTAACTAATGGGTGCTTGCCAAGTAAGTTAAAAATTGTAAATTTATTTGTAAATTATAAAATATATAATAATAAAATACAGTATTCATATTTAATATTGAATCAATATTAAATTAATATTGTTTTAGAATATTGAAATATTCTTAATGATAGTTAAAATTTTTTTTTTTTTTAAAAAGGCAATTAATTCAAAATAGGGGTTTGGGTTATATGATTAATTATTGTAATTAATAAATATTTATGTTAGGTTTAATTCGAAGGATTTATAGAATTTATTTTATGCTCGAAATTTGAATATTGTTTATTTATTATAATATTTACTTATAAATATTATTATTTTAAAATGAATCTGCCAAAATTATAAATATAGATTTAATTATAGTAAATAGAAACTAAATCACTACACTTTTTAATATAATAATTATTATGGAATATTTATTAACTTCAGAGTTTATTTTCTATTGATATTATATAGTCAATTTATTTATCAAATGATTTTTTTCTTTTAAATTTTAATTAAATATTGGTGATCAACATAGGTATGATCATTTTAACATGTAAAAATTTAGGCACAATATTTTTACAATATTATATATCAGTCATGCCTAATTTTCGTTTTGTGAAATAAAACTAAGTTTTCCATTCTTGTAAACAAAAAAAAAAATTTAACCAACATTAATTTATAATTTTTTTCACGTTCGTTATCTCTAATATATACTGACATGAATAAAGGTAATTAATATCAGTCTTAGAATATTAGTTAATTAATTATCTCAAAACATAAAATTACAAATAATTAATACGGTTAAACTCTCAGCTTATAATGTATACTTCAAGTTTACTATGGTTTAACTGTGTAGCTAACAAAATATATTGTATTTATAGGATAATTTTAAATTATAACTATTTAATGTTAACTTAAAAATAAAACCGTAATTATATATAATGTTAAAAAGTGCATTAATGTATTTTTCTTAAAACTAAATACTATACATTTTTATGGTTTTCGTATTTTATTTATTTATTTTAATATTTAATGTATCTAATTTTTAAAAATATTTATTATTAGAGTTGGGTTTTTCGGTCTATTATAACGAACTGTTATAGAGATGTAGAAAATATTATTTCTTATTTATGTATTTATTTATATTTCAAATCTGTACCAATGTACATACTTGCTATTTCTCAATTTTCTAATGTCTATTGTTTCAACAGATTTATTTTTGTTAATGGGTTACAATAGCATAATTATCAATCATTACAATTTTCTAGGTAATTAATAGATATTTTAATAGATAACAAAGTGCCAAGTACCAATATTCTCACCAGAAACGAATGTACTACATGCGTTTATTTTAAGTAATTATTTATTTTACTCATAAATGGCAGTGGTATCAATTATTAATAATTAGTTAAGACTAGATATGTTGTATCATTAAAAAAGTCAACTGTGACCCTTGTTCGACAGTGTTAAAAAGTACTGATATAATCATTCAAAATTCCTCTATTCATAGAACTTACTGTACCTTATACAAATTATTAAAATAAAGAGTTCTATTTATTATTAACAAATGTAACAGCTATTCGAAATATTTTTTGTACCTATTATGTTTATATCGTTTTCATTAAAATTTAGTGGACATCCATTGACATTTTTCCTAAGTAAGCTAAATGACTAAAAACAAAAACATAATTGTCTAAAAATTCAAATAGATTATGGTATTATTGTATACAATAATTTGGGCAACAATTTTTTAGTGCCTATAGCTGTAAAAAATTTAAATGCGCCTTTGGATATCATCTAGAATACAAAAAAATTGTACAATATAAAATTGACTGACGGATTTTTTTTTTGGAATTGTTACATTAAAAAAAAAGTATTCATAATATAAAAAATATAAATCCTAACGACTTGATATCTCGATATCGTTATGCATCACTAATAACTTGGTAATTTAATGTTACTGATTAACTTAATCTTAAAAACTTAAAATAAAATTATATATTTGAAATTAATATATTTTCCGTATTTATGCTGTTAGTACATTATAATTACTAATTTGTATTTTTAGAATATAAGGAAAATAGTAAATATAAAACAAATTTTTCTTGAATAAGTTTATTAGAATTACGACTATTTTTGAATATTTTGGGAATTTTTTAGTCAAGGTTATTCTGAGGAAGCCTTATACTCCTGTTTCGGGTTTCCGTAGTAACACATTTAAAATAAAATAATAAAAAAATTTACCATTTATTGGGTTAATACTAACGTTTGAAATAGATTGCTTGATAGTAACTTATACTTGGTCCATAAATAGATACTTCAATTTTTTTGTTATAATTGTTATAAATATTACATATATTCTAACAATCATATTTCAACCAAATTATATTTATTTTATACAAAAGTTATAAACGCCCGACCATAGATACCGAATGATTAACTATACAGTTCTTGGAAAATATAGGAAACTAGAGTATTTATAAAGAGTGGGCCATCGTGTTTTTCTGTGTAGTTAAAAAAAAAGAAAACACGGTATCATCCATTCTATACACGTCCCTATATATATATATACAGGGTTATTCAAAATAATTCATCCTATTTCAAATAGCTATAAAATGGTAAAATGGTAATTATAAATTTTATCTAATCAAATTATATACCAATTAATAGAGGGTATACCCAAGTTTTAGAATGTCATTAATTGTTTGTTTTACAATTATTGCTTTTAAGCGATAAGTTATTTTATGCAAATATATTGACCGAACAGCAGAAAGCGTTTTGTGTGTTGCGATTTTCAAAATGTTAATCGGTAATAACTGTGCAACACGATTTTCGTCTTCGTTATGGGATCGATGCATCAACTTCTCTGAGCATACGTCGATGGTATAAGTAGTTCGAAGAAACAGGGTGTTTGGGCAAAGGAAAGAGCACAGGCCGATCTCGTGTATCCGGGTATATCTTGGAATCAATTACAAAAGATATGCTATAAGAAGTATGGAATGAGATTGACTATCGGCTAGATGTTGTTCGTGTGACTAGAGGAACTCATATAGAACATTTATAGGTATAATTAATTAAACTTGATATATTTCTCTTTTATTAAATGTATAACATGTATAACTATTGTTCTAAGACTAAAAAATAAAATGATCTAAGCCTTTTAAATCAGATGAATCATTTTGAATAACCCTGTATATTTGCTTTGGATTTGTTGTATAATTATATTATATTATTATAATATATATTATTATCATATAATATCAGGATCACTTAAATTATCAAAGAAAGCATTGGCGCCGAACACGTACTTCAGGTAGTTCAATTGATCTGACTAAAAAATTGGAATGTTAAAAAAAAAAAAAAAATTTTCATATTACTTGATACTTTTTTTCTATTTAAAAATTAAATATAATATAACATTTTTACTTATTAGAGATGTTAAAAAAAAAATGTTTTGGTATTTGAATGGGTAGTAAATTGAAAGGGGTGGGTAGGTAAAACTAACTATTTAAACTAGCAGTTTTAATTTCATTCGGCGCAACTGGAAGCAGGGCCGCATTAAGGGGGGGGGCACTAGCTACAACTGCCCCGGGTGCCAGTTTTTTGGGGATGCCAAAATGCTGTGATCGAAAATTTGCTCACTTGTAAATTATTGAACATTCAAAATTATTTTATAATTATATTATTTTAAAATTATTATTTTTTTTTGTTTTTAATAACAGTATCGTAAATTAATGTTAATATATTATGCTGTTTGGAATTTAAACAACTATGAACTAATTTATAACAATATAGCTATCAGCAATCCAGAATATTATTAATATACCTAATATTTAATTTTTAATTTTTTCTTATTGTAAACATTTCTGATATAAAAATATACATTGTAATGTCAAAAGGGCAAAGCCCGTATAACTAATAAAAATAAAATAAAAATAAAAAATATGAGTTCCTAAATTTGTTATGATAATGTCAATAAACATAAGTTATTTATAATAATACGTCGTATTATGTTTTCGCGTGCAGTGGCGTGCCTATTACACAAAAATAGCATTGATTTTAGAATATCTAAAAGGTCCATGAAGATCTATCTCCTATATTTTCCGTGGGTAGGCCCCTTAGAGATGCGCCAATTTTTTTTGCGCCGGGACGCAAAATGTCTACATGTGGCACTGACTGGAAGAAATATTTAAGTACAATAATTTAAATTTATAATTTTTAAATTTAAAAAACTGGTTGAACATTACATTGGTTTGATGAGACTTTACTGTTGGGTGTATTATATTACTTTTAAACTTGAAACTAATGTACCATTGCTCGCGAAAAAATGATTATGAGTGAAAGAAATCAGTTTATGCTTCTAAAGATGATTGATAAAGATGATGAATAGAGTTCCTAGACTCTTATGGGGGTAGAGGGCGAATTTTATACATTATACAAGGTAGTTTACTCAAGGTTTATAATATCATACAATGCTTCCGGCATAGACATGGTTATAGATTTTACAGTGTATTTTTATGTATTTTCCTAGTGTGATATAAGTAATGAATAACAAAAAAAAAAATTGAGGACAAAAAAACGCCATGGGGTGACTGCTCCATTCCCCTTTGAGAACGCCACTAGATATATTACTTATAGTAAAGGTGTCAGTTTTTACCAAAAAACTTTGTTTCTGCCTAAACAAAATAGATTTGATTTTCGTTTCTGCAAAATATATTTCTACTTACCTGTCTGAATTAGAGTTTGAGAATTATTTAGAGTTATCCAGGGATCATCCCACGACGAGGTGGTTCTCAATGACCCATAAAAAATTGAATATATCTTATTTAATGATGAAGGATTTATTCGAAATAAATGCTTTTTGTGTTCGATGTACAGTAATAATTCGTTATGCACTGTTTTGATTATCTGCAGTAAAATGTTATTAATGTGATGACATTTTATCGATATTATACTGTAAATAATTTAAATAGTATAATTTTCGTAAATAATTTTTGTTAAATCGTTAGTTATAATCTT